GTCGATCACGATTTCCCACTAGGACTTCAGTCAACCTCATCCTATAATTAGTCACTCGTGAGTACTTGATCAGTTTTCAAGTGTTAGTTTGCAAAAGTTATAATTGACGAACCATTGGACTCCATCGCAGGAGCTGAATGGTATACGACCTCGCCTTGTAACCTGAAGTTCTTGGGTTCGATCCCTGGGGGGGTGATGGGCGCGGACTGATGAAGAGTCACAAACTGGCAGGAAACAGTTGTCCATTACTCCTTGATCTTCAGTGGTTCTCTAATTGAAGTCAATTTGTGATCAAAATTGAAATTATTCGAAGTTAAACTAACACAAGCACCTATTGAAACATCGAATTTCTAGTTGTTTTATTTCTACTGGTTTTTTATTGTCGAATTCTGCTGGTATAAAGGGTTACTAGTACGAGTCCTTCGATTTTAACATTTACTCTATTTCGATATCTAATCAAAAGTGTTGTGATGTATAAGATGTATTCGAATAAAATCTACTTTCTCTATTTTTTTTTCATTTATTCTTCATCTTCAATTTTTATGTTGATATTTTGAAAATCTAGATGTTTAATAATTACTTTCTTCTAGATAATATTTCATACATTCTACAGATTCGTATTTACACAAAACTATAAAGTGCATAAATGAATAAATACTCTATCGATTGCCTCAATATTGTTTTACTACAATTGATCAATATATATATGAACTTCTCGCTCTAAATAAAAAAACTTTCAGTTAAAGACTTCTCAATAAAAGTATTCAAAATGTAGATATCTAAACCAAGTTTAGATGTAGTTTATGGAGCATATTCAGCATCGTGTAAAGAATATTCATTAAGAGTCATAAAAGTCTTTAAAGGAATGAAAATGGTCGATAACTTACTACTATAGCTGGAAGTTTACAAATCAAACGAGTATCACTGCTCACAAAAAACTTATGCTAATTAACAAGAAACGTGACTAAATTTTCATTTGTTCATTTCATTTAAATCTAGGTCTTATCTGTTTACTCAGATGTAAACCGTAAGTGGCACAATATGGTGAGTATTATTGAGGTTAGGCATAGAGTGCTAGTTAAGAATAGGAAGCCAGTCGATCAGGTTGAGAAGCTGTATCGATTGAGATGGTTAAAACACGTGTTGCATATGCCAAGCCACCACCTTCCTTGACGAGCAATGTTAGCTGACGCAGGATTAGTTTAGAAAAGAGCTAAGGGTGGTCAAACCAAAACTTGGCGTAAATCTTGGAAGTATTCGATAGTTGGCTTGAGCCACATAGCGAGGTGTTTACTGCCTGCTGGGTTTCTCTGAGATGCAAAGCACCAATGGCTGCAAACTGTTGGTGATATGGCTCATAACCGTTCTCAATGGCGAAAGTTCACTCACTCTTTGTGATCTACCATTTCCAAAGAACCTTCAAGGTTCTTCTTCATGATACTGTCCTTTCTCCCTCACATTTCTGTTTATTTTTTTTTTCCTTCACGTTCCCCAGTGGATCATAGGGCTTCAAACTAGTTACTTGAATTTTCTGTAGCAGTGTTTATTCTACAGGATGGAGTTGCTAGCCTCATGCCCAACCTTTCTTCTTCACCAGCATTATTTCTGGCTTAGTGAGGTAAAGGGGTGCATCGGCCGGGGATCGAACCCCGGACCATGTGCATGGTCGGCGAGCGTCCTAACCACTATGCCACCGACGCACACTCTGTTTATTATAGTTCTTTTTTATTTCTCTATTTCCTCTTTTTTCATGTGCCACACAGAGTGTGGCGAATTGAACTGCTGCACTTCTGTGCAAAGTTCTATGTTAGAACTCAGTGTTAGTCAGTCAGAAATCATCGTGAAGTCATACTAGACATTAACAAAAAAGTGTTTCAAGCGTTTCATCCTTACTGTCTGACTAAAATTTATTACACGAATGTTTGTAGTGAGTCCTATGGGTTTTTATGAGCTGTATTCTGATGATTACTTTTATCGTTGCTCATAGGTTAAGGTTAGTGACTTCTATGTGGAGAATCTGATAGGTAAGTAGTTTTATTATTGTGCAGATTGGGAAACGCATACTTCTGTCCTAATAATTAATGAAATTATCCTGTTTAGATCTTTTTTATTCTTGGTTATTTTTCTATGCTAATAAAATTAGAAGCAAACATTCTTTTGCATATTGTCTCATAACTTTTTATTGATTTGTATCGGTTCTGTTTATTATTTATTTATTTATTCATTCATTCAAACTCAAACAAACTTGATGCAATTTGAGTACCAAGAGATGCTCAACAAAAAAATAAAATAACATTACAAGGAAGGCCGAAGTAGAATAAATAAGGGAAAAAGTGCCAGTAAAACACGGCAGTCATTAGGAAGCTCTCTAGACCTAGGTTTCGTGCTTTTTAGCACTCTTTAGCAAGTAATTACACTTAACAAGGACATTCAAAGGATGGTTCATTTCGTCATGTTACATTCGGAAAGGTAAGAAAGAAGGAAACTGCAGCGTGTTTGCCAGTGATTACGATTCTCAGCCATGCCTGAGAATGTCTCGAACCACTGATTCGAATTATCTCCTAGATCCCAACCAGGGAGTTGTTGTGTACCAACAGATGCCAACCTAGCATAAATATCCTTTGTCCCAAGGTTCCACGTGATAGACCATGACCGTCTCTCCGCTTTTTCCATCTAGTTCTAGGGTTAGCAAATACAGAACGGTATGTAAGCCACTGGAATGATATTCGTAGCACATTTCTAATGCCAGTGTCGCATGTTAATAACACTTATCAAACGATGATTTCTACTGCGTTCAAACACTCAGCGGCACTTCATAATTACTTACGTGGTGATGCAATTGGATGCAAGCAGTTTTATGGAGGCAGCGATAATCGATCATGCAGACCGGTTGCACATTTTCAGCTCACAGACGTCGGGTTTCACTAGTAAAGAGCAAAATAGCATGCACTTAAGCTGTAGACCCGACGTTTGACGGCCAGGTTGACGTTGTAACGATGCCATGAGTGGCCCAGGTTGTCTTATACCGCCCTGGCTTTCACTATATGGTCAAATGTTCGTCACAGCACTAGCACTCACACAACTACTTCGAGACGTGAACTTATCGACTACTTCTAACGGGTCACTTACGAGGATGGGTGGAGGTGTAGGCTCCTGTTAACCTCGTAACCATACTATGCACCTAGACAGAGAGAAGTACAGACCATACTTACAGACACCGACCACTGACTGATTAAATGCAATTTGTGTAGTCTGTGTGTTATCATACAGTAAGATGATTTCATTAGTACGCTTAAGGTCTTAGTTTCTTTCTCCAGGTAGCAAATCTACATCAGCACACACACACCGTTCAGAGCTGCCTCCAGAACTCTATCAATGGCTAAGTTAAAGCGAACTGGTGAGACTGAGCAACCCTCACTAACGCCACTGTTGTGTGATAACACTGGTGATAGCTGGTGGTATGAAGTCACTCTACCTGATGTGTTTCTCTTTCAGTCCTGTGTCGTGACTGAACTGTATCTTGGACATCGTACCAATTAGTCAGTAAAAAAAACTTTGCAATGCTTACACTAGAATTATACTTCCGAAATAGATTCCTGAAGTAATCTAAGAATAAATATGAGTAATCGTCTATGCAAATAGTATGAAAAATTAAAAGGCTGATTATCATCAGTAGTAACGCCAGCACTCATCTGTTTTCATCTTGCAGCAGTCTGTTTTATTAGAATAATCCATAAAATTTAATACAAGTCATTGTTTGAAATACCGAAGTTTATGATCATCCGTGTCTATACTTCATAACTTAGTTATAAATCAGTTTTTCTGAATTTTTTTGTGAATTCATTTTGACTAGATCCATCTAGCCAGCAGTATAAGTATGTGTTCAGTTCACCCATATATATTTTCGCGGTGTTAAGTTCTTAGAACATTTACCATAGAATCATCTGATGCTAGGAAGCACAATTAGGTGAATCAGGGTTTTCAGTGGGTATTTGTGATATTCTGGTACGAGACATCATCAGAATGAAACCACCTGGTAATTTGTTTGATAACTAGACGAAAGTATTTTAACACCATGGCGGGCTTATTGACATAGCAGTCAGCATAAATATGTATCACTTAAAGACGCAATACTTTGTAAAAGTGTATTAAATAACAGAATGCATATGAAATAACATCGCAAAAGACATACATAAGTTTGATAATGAGTTTAGGTTAATACAGATTTTGATTTGTCTGTTTCATTATAAACGATTGTCAGTGATGTTACCAAAATGTTGATTGTTCCTATCTCGATTTCCTTAACTCAGATAACCTACGTCTCTTTACCTGCCTCAATAACAGTCATTGATTGAATGCGTTGATATGGTGTTTTCGTCTAACCATCCCTATTTCTCTCTTAATATAATCTGACTTCAAAAGAAGCAATAAATGTTAGTTAAACTGGACTTCATAAATCCAACAAATTTCGGTAGTACTCACCAGTTAAATGTTCTACATACATTCTTATATATAGGGAGACAAGCAAAAATTCATAATGAATTTGTCATAACAACGTGGAAGGGAAAAATATCTTGGGTTAATTTTGTGTCCGGAAATAAGTGAAAGGGTAACAAGCAGTCTAATGTTTAATTTTAAAAAGATAACATGTCTGTTTTATGGATTGTCCCGAGGAAATTATTTTACTGAAGTGATGCCTCATTCACGCACGGTAATCTGACTTCTTACTCAGACCGTTATTATAGTGCAAGAATATTTCAGTAAGAGGATAACTGCTTTCAGTCTTGTCGATGCTCAGCTGACATGTTTGGTCTACGGGACCAATTGCTGTGTCCTTGTAGCTTGGGAGCCCTTACATCATTCCAAGGTAACAGCTTCTGGTTTGGATATATGAAAAAAGTGTGAGTTCATCGAATAATAACATTCTTTGTAACACTGTTTTTCTCACTTGTTCTAATCGCTGTCAATTTATAAGTGAATACTTTCCTTTCCGCTGTTAGTTTCAAATCCTTTAGAAGTTGGAACCACACGATTGAGTTCACCAAGTCAATCAGATTCAGTCAGTTGTAATGGAACTTCAAACAACAAACGAGGTGCAGAAATTAACTATACGGAACCAGCACATTTTACATTGGCAACTGCATCTATGCTATCTGTAAGTTAATGATTTCTTAGGGTAGTAAAACTATTTTTCTCCTCTAAAGATTTTCTGTAGTCTTTGATAACAGTAATACTACTTTGTTTCAGTTTTTATATAAAACTACCTTTTCCCAAAAAATAACCGTTTTAGGAGATGAAAGATGTTGACGGTTACGTGACATACGCTGTACACAAACTTAAGTTTATACCCTCCGAATCCCGAAGCACTTGTTTTGCTTGGAACAGAGATGAATCGAAACAATAAATTTATCTTCAGAAATACGAGATATATTTCGGGATCAGAAACGTTCAGCGACGAAGATTGCTTAACTAGCTAGGGATAATGCACAAACAACCAAACGTAACACGACAGCGTGTCAAATGGTCTGGATGCTTGACCGCGTACCTTCAGCTTAACAAGCCTACTTAAATAGTGAAGGTCAGCATCCAGTGTTGAGTGAAAAGTGCTGTAGGCTAATAATTTTGTGGAATTATTTAACTCTGCAATATTAGCGAAAAGTATAAAATAAATTCATAGCGATGCTTACAAACATAAAGTATTTATACACAAACAAAAAACAAATTCTTCAATCAGCTATCAACGAGCACTCCATGAACGCCAAAAATATGCAGTCTCGCTTTCATGTTGTTTTTTTTTTCTCAAAACGAAAGGCGAGTTTTAAATCCTTTGTTCTAGAAGGCTACAGGAAGTAAAACATTTATATCTTCACACTTGTTGTAGGGGACTTAATAGCGAGCTCGGTAACGGTACAAAATATTAGGATAAAAATCCAAGTTAATGAAAGAATATTGTAACAGTATATTATAAAAATAAAGTTAAGGAGTTATAGAAATTAATGGCTACTTGATGACACAGTTAAAGTTCTCTGCTACAAATTATTAATATCATCAACAGAAGCGTTCACTGCTGGGATCGTATCTACTAGTAGGAGCTGTGTGCCGGTTGTAGAATAGTTTTTGGAGAAGGATAAGAGGTTCCTGCAAAAATCCAAAGGATACAACACGGTTAGTAGTAAAGCAAGTAGACAGTATGGACCAGTGAGAAAACAAAGCGTCGAGCAGCATGCTGTCTTTTAGACTGTAGCCCTAAGTCATGTATATATTTTACAATGAATCGTTCTAAACTAAAGTTATGTACAATGATGGTGTTCCAGATTCAACATTGTAAGCAAGATAAGCAACATGTCAAAACAGAGGATTTTGTTTTGTCGTTGCGCGTAATTTCTCTTCCAATGATCGCTCCAACCTTGTTTCCAGTCTCCAGTTAGTTTAAGTAATCTTTTCTGTGGGTTCACAACTGTCTCCTTACACTTCTTACTCAAGAACTTTCAATCGAACTACAAAGAAATATTCCGTGGTTTTCTTTTTGGGGTGCTAATTTTCTGTCCTCAATTTTGCGATTTGGATTTCAGACTACTTTAATTTTGATGTCTTCTGGTCATTTATTATTCTTAATAATCTACTTGATGAAAGAATATTTTCAATTAATAAAAGCTAGTGAAATAAAACTAATCCGTTCTCTGGATCAAGATCTTTTCTTGTTGGATTGGATTTTGTAATTTTTCTTTAATACCCTTAATGTTTCCACTGTTTTTTTTCTTCCATTTTCGTGTGTATTGCTTAATCTCCGAATCCAGACTGCCTAGAATTTACCTATGATTGTAACAAAACCTTGTTCGCTCCAACTTTGGAAATATTTTCGCAATAATGATATTTAAATTATGGGTTTTGTCGAGATCTGAAGGTGAATTTCATCAGGAACAAACGCCAGTTAGAGATCATTGGAAACCAAGGGACATTGGACAGTTGTCTCGTCCTAGTTTGGAATCCTTCGGCAGTATTCACCCATTACATTTTAGTTAATCCAGATTCCTACAAAAACCCATAATCTAACTGTCAACTCGCAACTCGTTTTTATGCCTACTGGATGAATATCCTGAAGATGTACGGAAAATGTCGTGTCCACTGGAGTTCACCATATCAAGTTGAAGCGGATGCTTATCGAAGGCATTCATTAAAGGTTGACAGGAGTTGGAATTCACGGATCATTGAATTCCTACCCAAGTGGTTGAAAGGTCAACGAGCTTGACCTCGTTAGTTGAAAGTCCTAGGTTCGATCCCTGGTGGGGTCGTAGGTGAACGGTCGGTCGGTCGGTTTTCGACATAGAACTTTGCACATATGTGCAGCAGTTCAAGTCGCCACAATCTATGTAGCACGCAAAGCAAGAGAAGGAAGTAGAAGAAATGCATAATATAGACAGTAAGCAGAGGTGTGACACAAAGGGATAGTAATAACAGAGAACAAAACAGTTTAATTGGAAATCATAAGTCACAAGGAGTGGATGCATCTGCGCCAGGCATTGAGAACGATTTTGAGCCATGTCACCAATTGTTTCCAACCATTGGTTTTTACCGTCCCGAGGACCCCAACCAGGAAGTCTACATCTTCCTACGTGGCTTAGATTAACTGTTGTGGATTTCATTGATTGGTGCCATGTTTTCGTTTGACCGCCGCTAGCTCTTTTCCAGCCTGGCCCTATATCAGCTAACATTGCCCATTGTCGAGGAAGGCGATGACTAGGCATACGTAATACATGTCCTAACCATCTCAGTCGAAGTAATTTCACAGTCTCGTCGATTGATTTCCCCGCCTTACCTAGCACTCGACGCCTAACCTCAATATTGCTCACCTTATTATACCACTTCACGCGGGAGATATAACGCAGACACCTATGATCGAAGACAGATAATCTTTTCATGTCTTCTGCTCTCAATGGCCACTGTTGAACACTGTTGAATAACGAAACAGCTGTCCAGTACATCTTGGTTTCCAATGATTGTCTAACTAATTTTGGTTCATGACGAAATATACATTGAAGCAGTATTTAAATCTGTGGGTATATCATTGAGCATAGAAGATTACAGTGTAATCTGTTAGTTTATTGTTTATGTCCTGGGAAAAATCACTGATTAGCAAGACTATAGGTGAATTTCTGCATAAGTATTATTTGTCTTTTTTGACCTACTGATAATAAAAGAAAATAATATGCTGTTTGATTATGGATAAAATTTTATTTTGATAAAGACACATTGTGTTACACAGTAATATTTACTGATGACGTTTCGAGCACAACTTATTGCTACTCATAATTATATCACGGTCCTCATATAACGTCATCAGTAAATGTTACTGTATAACACTGTGTGACTATATCAAGATAAAATTTTATCCATAATGGAATTATGCTCTACCAGAATGCCCAAGTTTTATCCTTATATCAATATGTTGTTTATCAGACTATGAGCTCAAACTTATATCAGCTGACAAAATGAAATATGTACAAAATAGTTATATTTCTACTTGTGTAGGCTATAGGAGGGGATTATCCTTGACTTATATATTTTCTTAAGTATTGGTTTTTGTAGGGATTTTGTTTGATTGGTTGCAGGATTTCATCATGAGCTGTGACATCGGTTAAAGGACCATCGGCAAACCTGGGAGTACTAGAAAGCTGTTTTGTCCCAGTTTGCGACTCTTCAATGGTACGCACCCGCCTGGGTTCAAACCCCAGAATCTTCTGGTATATATATATATATATTCACGAAATAATAAAGTGAGAGCAAATTAGGTACTCATAATTTTCCTTATTTAACGACATTCTACAAATCTGAACCGACTCGACAGTTTGCAAGAAAATATACATTTATCTTTTGAACTCCAGACAGTGATAAGTATTCACAGTACGATATGTAACCGAAGACAACTATTGTTATATTTCATTCTTATGCATTCCGTGTGGAACATAGAGCTTTAAATTTACAATAGCAGTGGTGTTTCCTCTTACAGGGTAGTGTCGTTAACCTCACGCCTAGTCTTCCCTCTTGTACCGGGCTTACTAATGGCTAAGAGAGGTTTATAAATGCATAGGCCAGATGTTGACCTCGGATTACGTAAGGTATAGGTAACGAGTGGTTCTACCACTGAACCACCGATATGTTTGTTTGTCACTTATGAAATATCATCTAAATTCGAATCATTCAAAGTTGTTTCGTAATGTTTTTATTGATTATTCTTTTCCAAAATGATTTTTTTTCTACTTTAGCCTTGTATTCAAACTGACTATCAAGTAAAACTAGCCAATGTAATTATGGAAGAGGCTAAGTCTACTAATTTGGTAAATGGAAGCAAATCGAACGATGAGAATCCAACAACACATATATCTCAAGGAAATCTCACAAATTCTGTCCCAAATATTGCTCAAAATTTTGATTCTTCAATGGTCACTATTCCAAATGAAATAATTTTACCCTCTGCACTATCTCCAAAAATGAAACATAGGTCTCCCCAACGAACATTTCATATTCATCCAAAGCTACCCAGCTCGACTAATGATATTCCCTTTGATATACCTTCAAGTAGTCGAGGTTCATTTACACTGAAGTATAAACAGAATTCTTTGCCTAATCCCCCTCCATCATCCTACTTTTTATGCAATCCAAATTTATCAACACCACAGTTTGATTCTTCTAAACCAAATGTACCTCCACGTCCTATTATTTCGAAAACATCCCGTCCATCATCATCCCAGTGTTTTAGTTCTACAATATCTATTGATTCAAAATCAGCCCCATCGCTTTCCGGTGAAAACAGCAGACTGAATTTAAACAAATCTGATGTAATCAAAAATCAGTTGGCAAATACAATAGGCTTAGATACTTCTATGAATACGACAAAAAGTTGCCTCCCACCACCACCTCCTGCACCTTTACCAGTAACAAAAGTGCAATACCAGTCATCTAAAGAAGACACTCTTCAAAATATTGATCTCAAAAACAACATTGAAAATGGTCTAGAAAAACAAGGGAATGTAGGAAAGGGTGCAAAGTAAGTTTAAATATAATTCATATAGATATTTGTTGGCTTTCATGAAGAAATTAAGCTTCTAAATGAAGTGTACAAATTGTTTTTGTTAAGAACACTATTCTTACTGCTTGTCTACCTTTCTTTTAGAAAATAAGGTTCTCACAGAGTCTTCTATAGTTTGGTTTGTAAGGGTTAGTTATGTTTTTAAGAGTTGATCACAGATTGGTTAGAGAACCATAGAAAACCAGGGAGTACTGGACAGCTGCTGTTTCATCCTTGTAACCGGAAGGTCCTGGGTCCCAGTGGGTGCGTACTGCCGATGATTTCCAAACTAGGATGAAACAGCAGCTGTCCAGTACTCCCTGGTTTTCTCACAGAATCATTTTGTTAGTAAAATGTGTTGTAAGCAAACTGACTCTTCCAGATTCGTAAATTTAAAAGGAAATGGAGAAATGTTACTTGACCACCAGTTGCAGTTAGCAATCATCAACACCCATTGTCTGAGGGTTTGTTCATATTAGCTATGTTCCCAAGAGTTGATAAGATGAGTAGAATTCGAACTTGTGTCACAGTGATTGAATCTCATGCTCCTAAAATAATGAGCCACAGATCCACTATTTCCTTTGCTGCTTTTTGTTCATAGCTGTTGATATCGTAGAAGCTTCTCTTTTTTGTGTTTTAACGCTGCCACCAACCAATGTCATTGGTGAATATTTTTCCTCAAATCCTACCTGGTGGTCCCCAATGATCGTGACTTCCAGCTAGAACTGCAGGCAACTTTGTCCTGTGGCCAGTCATCAGATTAATTTTCAGGTGTTAGTTTGTAGGGATTTGATTGTTTTCACATTTGAACACGGACTGATATCAGTTAGAGAACCACTGAAAACTAGAGGGTGCTGGACAGCTGTTCCGTCCCAATTTGGGACCCTTCAGCATTACGCACCCATACTGCCACCAGGAACCGAACTAAAGACGTTCAGACTGTAACGCGATCCCATCGACCATTCAGTCACCGGGACAGAATCAAATAGTCCGTGAATTCTGTGTTCTGTAAACTTTCCATTTTTAGCGCCACCGCATTTGCTGTTGAATGAGCTATACGTCGGTTCACGAAAATAAATACAATCTCATATTGGTTTCAGGATTTCGTCATGAGCTGACATTGGTTAGAGAACCATTTGAAAACTTGGGAGTGCTGGACAGCTTAATGGTCTACGAGCTCGCCATGTAACCAGAAGGTCCTTGGTTCGAACCCCGGTGGATGCGTACTGACCAAGTGTCCCAAACTAGGACGGGGAACACAGCTGTCCATTACTCCCAGGTTTTCCAATGGTTCTCTAACCGATGTCAGTTCATGATGAAATCCTGAAACCAATCAATCAAATCCCTACAAACCAGTACTTGAATTCCATATTAGTTAGCTGATTTGATAGTACACAGTGACGCGGCACCAGGCTTCTTTAGGTTATCAAATATAAATGTTCCTCTTGAGAAAAAAGTAGGTGACGGAAATGCGACTACATAGTAACCATCGATGCAGAATGTCGTAAATTCCAGACATCTGCATCATTATATTCACTGCTTAGCTTTACATTAATTGGTCACTCAGGTGCAGTTAATGTCATTTCGTCTAGTCCAAGCTGGTCATTGGTAGGTAGCACTAAACAAAGTGGATTAAAATCTCTGAGAGGGCATTAGAATACCTTTGAAATTGAAGATATGTCTGTCTGACAAGTATTAATAAGCATGAAACTTGTGTCTAAGGCTTCCTGCCAATTCAATCCAACCATATAACATTTAATGCATAGCTTTGTTTATCAAGAGTACATTGCATACAATTATACTTTGAATGATCCTATAATCACAGTGCGTTAATAAAGGTACAACTTTATGAACTATCTTATTTCAAATAAAGAAAAATCACGTTGCTCTTTTTCTAATTAATCGAAACATCTCATATTAGAATAATTTTTATTTCATACATCTATTAATTTTTCTTATATTGATTCGTTTTTCATTCTTTTATATTTACAGCTCTTTTGATAAATGCAAAACTCCACTGCCAATACCACCTCAAATATATGCTCGTCTAGAAGCTGAAGTTCCCCCTTTACCTCCTCGAAATCCACGTGTACGAGTAGTTGATCTTGATCAGTTATGTGCAGCGTGTAATGCAAAACTAGGTGAGTGCAAACCACTAACATATCAGTTCCTTAACTTACTTACTCGGCATATCATTCTTAGTCAGCATATTTCATGTAGCTATTATAATAATCCCATGGATTTATTAAATCCTTTATTCACCATACAGATATATACGAAAGTTAATGAGAAGGTAGAAGTGGAGTCAGCTTAAACTTGCTGGACTGTTATGAATGAACAGACAATATTGTAGCATGCGATTACGCTGGCCAATATTGTTTTCCTCATAAATTATTCTTAGTTGAAGAACCGCCTTACCAGATTTTATTCTCATTATATTTTTAAGCCAATTGTGACTTCTTGTTGATTGATTGGACCAAAATGTTCGCGCAGGTGACGAGACCCAGACAGGACGAAGTCTAACCAGTCAAGGAGGGAGTCAAAATTTACCTAAAGAAATAATAACTGCTACTGTTGCACAGGAGGTGTCTCTCATAGCCCAAGTGGTCAAGTGGATAACACTTTGGTCCTCGAAAAGATAGGTACCGCGTTCGGGTCTCAGTGAGAACATCACTCATTGGAGAATGCAGGGACATCCAGCTAACGAGTCTAAAATAGGAAGAAATGCGCATTCCAGATTTCACTGCTGTTCACCACCTACCAAATTACTTCAAGATTCCATCCTTGTTTAATGTCTGAGATGTTTTCACATACTGAAATTACTTTGATTTTCAACACTTATTATTACGAGAATATTTACACAGGAATGAATGATACAATTGTTAGCTGGATTAAAACTAATTGTAAAATTCTGTACCTTTTCAAATGTTTTAAACCGGAATCAAACACTACTTTATTGAATATCACATCTTATGGTTATTTTAACTAAACAGGTGAAAATGAGTAAGTTTTGGGTGGGGTTACGTAATACTAAAACGGTCAAAAAAACTGGGTGTGATATGATAATGAGTAATAAATTGTGCTCGAAACGTCATCAGTAAATATTACTTTTTAAACACTGTGAGACTTAATCAAAATAAATTTTACCCATAATGGAATTATAATCTACCACAGTGCACAAGTTCTATTGTTATATCAAGTTACAGCTTTCTTTATAACTAATTCTCACAACTTGGTAAAAAAATATTGACAAAGGCTTATCTAGCTGGTCCTGCTGTTTACTGTAGTTTATGAGGGGAACTTATTTGCAATTCAGAACTTTAATTTCACTTATCATTCAGTATACGCAATATCACTAACTCACGTGTAACCAACACGAACAATAACTGCTGTTTGCACGTAACGGCTGGTTTCACAATGACCTAATGAGCCAGGTTGACAAAATGACTGCCATCATATTACAAAAGTGGTAAGGGCAGAGGTAACACTGGGAGCAGTTGCCGTTATAATGAGGGGATGGTGCGGAGCCATACTGCCGACAGCACGAGGTAACCATCAGGCTACCTATATTGCATATTTTGCTCTGAGGGCAGGTTACAGGTTGTCATTCCTAAATAACTGCATATGCCGACTCGACCAACTATAGTTTCTATTTTACGGTAGGGTGTTTGTATAGGCGACATTTCAAACATGCCGTCAACTCTAAACAGCTCGCTTATGGAGGGCATCAAGTGAACATCTTCTTTTCCTTTTATATTCAGATACTGAAAATTTTATGCTAACCCTCAAAAATGTTTGTCTACGTTTTTATTCTTTAATGTACATGTATCTTCTCGTAGTATAGTAATTTGGACTGACAAACTTCTGGGTCAAGTTTTATTTTGATTCGGCTGTCATTCAGCATATACAATACATAAGATGATCATCAAATGATGCTTTATTAATTAATGGATTGTCTCATTTTAACTGCATAGAAACGTCATAGAAATGTGACATTACATTACTACTGCTGCTACTGACAGCCACTTCTTCACATATGTACCTGATTATTTGAGAGGAAGGGAACCTATAAATTTTTTAAAGTTATAACATTTATCCACAATTAATTAGTATAACAGTAGTACAAGTTTTCCTTATTTGTGCAAATCTGCTTGGTCAAAATCTACTCTTTCTACTTTTCAAACAGGTTTTGAGGATTCAATGGTTATCGAGTCTTTAAATCTTTACTACCACCTACCATGTTTTGTATGTGCAAGATGTGGTATTTCATTGGGGGATGGTTTATCAGACGTTGAAGTCCGTGTCCGAAGAAATTTGCTCTACTGTTCAAACTGTCATTCAAAGAATATGAACCTGAATGATAACAAGCATGAACATGATTTAAAGACGCGTCAACAGCTCACATGCCAACCACCAAAACCACCCAGGCCGACTGATAGACGATATCGGCACGGTATGGAACAGTGATTGTTTGTTAATTTTATTTATTTACTATTTGAACCCGTTTGTTTATAACATGTAAATTAATAAGGTTGTCCTATTTGCCCCACTATTATTTGCTTTGATTGAATATTTTAGAACGTATGTACTAATTTATGTTTCCATATAACAAGCAGTTTCACATCTCGAAATTCAAATATTAGTAAGAGTGATCTAATGAATTCGAAAAATGCTAGGCTACTGAACTTAAACCGTGCAAAAATAATTAATAAAGGATGAAAATTAAGATATGTCTGACCAAAAAAGTTGAGAACGAAGAGAGTTTACCGACAGTGATAATCTTCCGCAAGTTGCATTATATCGAGACGTTTATCGATTATGAATGATGCTCTATCCTAGAAAAAATCCTTTGTGTTTGTGGTTGAATATCAACTTATCACAGTTGTGTTTCCTTTAGTTCCTGGAGGAACATAGGGCTTCAGCGGTGCGTCTCCATTGCGTTCGGTTCTGTACCAACGTTTTCACCTGGCTCGACGTCTGCCCACATGCTTTCATTTCCTCTTGGCATGATCCCCTCCATGTCACCCTTGGACGACCAACTCACCGCTTCCCGTTCGGGTTACACTCGAGCGATGGCGTCTTGTGTGATGTCACTTGATGGTTCTCTCAGAGTACGGCCAATCCACCTCCATTTTTTCCTGCTTATTTGTTGTGCAATCGGTTCCTGGTTAGTTCGTTCCCAGAGGTCCTTGTTGCTGATCTTTTCTGGCCATCTGATCTTGAGTAGAGAGTGAAGACAGGTGTTGATGAACGTCTATAGTTTGTCTTCATTACACGCCGTCTCTAATCCATAAAGTAGCACTGACTTATCACAGTTGTGTAATGCATGAAAATGCTATACACTTAATACTCCAATTGTACAATAAAATATTTTCGTATTCTGACACGTAAGTTATAGATACAACATTGAAATAGCAGCCTACAAGTGATAGCTGTTGAAGAAAGCTTATATCCATGTTATTAGATATGCCTGACGCCAAATTAGAACTCCGATAAACACTAACTTAAAGAAAACAAGCGAGTTCATGTCAAAAACCCAACGATAGATCCGAAAAATACTAACCTCTAGTCCTCTTTAAACATTCTCCTTACAATCAAAGTAAATACAGTTCACAATTCAAGTCCAGCAGTTTTAATACAGATGACATCAATAATTACTACTAAGATGGAGTCTACATAATAATTAGACTATAAAAATTAAGTCACCTCTTATCGTATACCCTAACTATATCTCTTCAAATATAAACCCTTATTTCAGGAAGAAATTCAATAGTTGTGAAAGCAAGTTATATTGGCAAGTTTTAAAATTCATCTAAATAAAAATGTAACTTGTACACACCTTTTCTCATAAATTACACGGTGTTTTTTTCCACTAGATAATTTTGTTTATCATGGTTCAAATTAAACGCGTGAATTCATTAAACTCGTTTAAATCTTATTTGAATTCTTATCTACACTGGGTTTCCCCTTAATGATAATGTAATCTGCACATTACAGATTCACCGAATAAGAACTATTTATTATGAGAACAAAAGAACTGAACTGATCTGTGATAATATTGAAAATCTTGGGTGGCAAACTAACGTGCGAATCATCACACAAGTTTTGTCCTTTTTGCCTGCTAACCGAATTAATCATTTCATCATTCAGTGCATCATCTTGATGTGATTTTGCTATTTCCACGCATGAAAATTTTTAAATGACTAACATACACGTTTTTGGTAAGGTGGCTATTCTATTTTTTGTTTTTGTTATAGATTTTAAGGTGTGATGATGTCTACAATTTATCGACAGTATTTTTCTTCGCTAGTCTGTTGGTGTGAATAATAAACTGTGATTCTTGTTGCTGATGCCACACTATTACTACTGATTCTCTTTTACTCTAGCATACTGCAACCATCATTAAATATACAGGCAAATCTTTCATCAATAATAATAATAACAATAATAATATACCCCATCTTTCTATTTGAGCGACTGACTGTCAGTCTTTGCATCTATGTACAATCTTTACACAAGAATATCACACTACTTAACTGTGTACACAATCTTGATAAATTATTATTACTACTATTATTCTTACATTTTAACAGACTACCATCCAACACAAATCTTTGTAAAATATATTGTTATAGCATCTAATCATAGATGTGTATGTGTGTGTGTGTGTAAGACAGGTAGAACAAAAATAATTTATGCAAACGAATTATTGTTGTTTTCTTTTTATAATTAAAGCATACATACTACTACTAAGAAATTTACAAACTGTTTCGTTCTTTAATTGGAGCCCAAAAGTAAGGTGAAAAGGATTTTTGTCTTCTTCTACAAAAATAAAAGGAGTAAACTTCATTGTCATTGTATATTAACATACCTAGGTCGGAAATGAAACCATGGAACGCCAAATGCTTTGGATAATTCTACTACAGTAGGTTCTTTAAATTCTGCAGACAGTGAATCCGTCATATTGATTTTTAAGGGAGAGGTCGGTGCACGAAGTGAATTTATGTCATGTGAAATAGGCTATAAAGAAAGCGAAAATAAGCACACAAAAACAAACCTACTTTAGTACATTCATAAGGGACAGTTTTAGCAGGATGCCAGCATATAATAACTGCTCCATCGGAGGAAATAGTAATGGCTGACTCACCACTAGGAAAATAACCTTATTCAGGGAAAAAATTACCTTTCGATTAATTCTTTTGATGATTTGTAGAAGCGAGTTGAAGTAACTTGGAATGGTTTCCTGAAAAAGGAAAAGATTTTAGCCAACATTTTAATAAGGCATTCAGAAGACAAATATTACATGATGATATAATTTCTTAGTTCCCTAGCAATAGCATTACAACTAGCATGTTTGACAGTAATGAAATATTTGCAATGGAATATATCAGCTTAGACGAAATACTAACAACAAATTATATTTAACAGGCTGTGTAACTCAGCGTAAGCAAACAAGTGAAATCAACTGTCTTCTCATATGTGGTTAATCCAAAGTAATTCCATCACTATTAATAATCCTGAATTGGAATTATGTCAAATAAGTGAGAAACAATCATTTGTAATAGTGATGTGTAGAAGGTGTACTTAATAGCTAACCGAAGCTTTTAAGTTATCATTTGCATAAATTTAGTTGCCTTAGAATAGTAGTTTGATGAAAACGAGAGAGTTATCTTGTCAATGGGTAATTTTCCTTTACTGTGGAATACAATAAAGTTTTCAGGATACATTAGCTCATAAAAATGATACCTGTGTGCTTCAAGGTTCACGGTGTAAGAAATGTTGCTAGATGATTACGATGTACTTCAGTTCATCAATTAGTGTATCGTCCTTACAAATTTTACAAACCCTTGGAAAGAGACATACCACTGACCGATATTTGTGCAGATCATCAACTGTTTTCACAGCTGTTTCTACAGAAAACTGGATATGGTGCTAAACTTCTCCATAATGAATACCTCTATGTGGTATTTAGACATATTCTCTTTGCTGAATTTAATAAGATGAGTCAACCTTAGTGTGTAAGTTATTACAGGATGGAGCGAAATTTCAATACCAGAATTATTGAAAGTCCAGTACTTGAAGCTATGATTTATATCTTAAGTCGCTTTGAAGACATTTAAGATCTCAAAGCTATGGTCTATGGTAGGTAATGTGTTTTTTTCTCATTCCTTTGAGTCCCGAGTGGAACATACAGCGTCAAGCTTCAGCTTTGAAGTTTCAGGAGAGGTATTGTTATTACAGGGTGAGATTTCTAGCCTCACCCCCGACCTCCCGCTTTACCGGGCTTATCACCGGCTAAGCGACGCTTAAGTGTGTGTCGGCCGGGAGTCGAACCTGAACTACACGTGGTTGGTGAACACTTTACCACTGAACCACTCAGTACTAAGGTATTTATAACCCTACGAGTAAGAAATTATGAAAATAGGTGGATTTTGCCGTGCTAAACCTCAGGTTTAAGAGTAAACAGAACTCCGTAAATTATTTTGAGTATGAAGCTTTAAATGTCGAATTAACACGTTAAATCCCTAACAATTTTGGACACTGCATAACTTTAAAGTGCTGGGAAATAAAAATCTACCAAGAATAATGTAAATGTCTCACCTATAATCACACAGAAAAATCTACCCAATTTATCCATTCAACAGCTATGGTCAAAGGAAAATCTCTCTGGTTTTCAACAGTCCACCAATTGACGTCAGTTTGTAGAGAAGTCTGCCTTGAAATCAGTCATATCCCTACAGCGCAATATTTGAAAATTACATCCGTTTAATTTCCACCGAGTGATCCTAAGCCATAGTAAATATCAATTGCACAACTCAGTAAATATTGTTAACTTTTTCCAAAATGAGGTAATAAGGGAAAAGTCCAAAAGCCGTACATCACAATAGGTGCTAGTGAACTAAATAGGAATGAGAAATGAAATGACAGTTGGTCATCTGTGAACATACTCTAACAAGCATTTTTAAAGTCCATTTCTCAATATATAACTTTTAAGTTTATTCTAATCACACTTGTGAACAGTTGCAGTATTCTTATGATGTTGAACATTTTGATTACACTATATATATATATATATATATATATATATATATATAGCAGCTTTAAAAACCTAATATTGGAAACTAACCTCAGAATCAGTGATACTCCTTTCGATAGCAACATCTTGACACCGGTTAATCGTGACAGCGACAACCAAGAATGAAGAAGATATATATTTATCACTCCTATAGAAAATAAATATCGGCAAGAACGATTTGTAAATTTAAACCAGTAAAACTGAAGTATTACTTGACTTTCTATTAACATTGATATTGATAAATTCTTAATACTAACTTGCTTGACAACAGTACTCAAATGTAAATGTCTTTTTCGAACTGTGAGAAATACATACATACAACATTAGACAGAAAACAAAAAATTCATCAATGTCTTTTCGGCCACTTCATACTGAAAAGCTGTACAGTCACATTTTTATAAATAAGCTCACCTAGTTACACTTATTATTTAATTCAAAATGTCAGATAAAGTGAAATTTAAAGGAGATAATTCTCAATTTGATATGGAGGCTTGCAAATGTGGTGACACCGTAATGTAAATCAAAAAGGGTGTAGAAGCTAATATGATACGGAATTATGAAGATAGTTGCCTAAATTGAAAAGTAGCTTTTGTCAAAAACAGATTGTGAGTAGGAACAAAGTGAAATACTTCGTAAATAGACATGAGAATATACTCAGGGTAAAGGAACTAAGCGAGACTACGTCCAGAAAAGATGCTTGTTTTCAACGCAGCTCCAGCTTCTCATTTCATAATGGCAAGGGTTTCTGCAACGCAGAAAGTCAGAAACACTGTCTTCGGTGGGTCTGTGTTTATTTTTTGTTTGACTCAGTGATGATTCGGTTGAGATGTGGTGAAAGGTGCTAACGAAGTGTCCATAATAGTGCTTCTGATTGAACAAGTGCCTCCTCTTTGCAGCCATGCTGGGTAGTACCCATTAACACGTTTCGAAACAACGTGCCTAGAACGACCCATATACCTAACACCATAGGAGCAGGTGAACTGATATATACACAATGAAGTGGCTATGTGAGGGAGTTTGTCCCTTAAAATATTTAAAAGCGGTGAGCGACTACAGAATATCACTATTAGGGTTGCTCCAGAAAGTCTTGTTTAGAGAATTAGATATTATTTTTAGGATATCTGCCAATAAGTCTCTCTGAATTCTAGGCTATTGTATGGTATTTTCTTTGGCAGTGAACTTTTCGCTTCGTGGCTTTTGTTTGACATTCTTGATGAACAGTACCGGATACCCATTTTCAGCCAGAATGCTTTTGAGAAGGAAGGGCACTTCTCATAAACAGTTAGTGCTGCTGACGACGTTTTCAACGCAGAACTTTGCACACAAGTACAGCAACTGAAGTTGCCATACTTCATACGACAGATATTTTTAATACGTAGATCAAGCGAAATGATAAGAATTAGGCTTTAACTGAAGTTTTAAAAATAATCCAATAGTGTAAGTATCTCTTGTATAAATATCCCAAGGAAGTTATTTTATATCATCCCTGACAATTTGATTCCTTCACACTCTTCAGGGAAAGGCATTTTTACAGAACTGAATAAATAAAGTTTACAACTGTCTTGATTTTATTTTTTGTCTATTATGATGCCTTAACAACTTACAGTGTTCATCAGTAACATGTAGACTAACTTTTTCGGGCATACAATGCTGTTTAAAACCAGTCTGTTGGTTTAGCTTATACAACATTAAGTAAATATGGAAGTTAATTTTTGAAAAGTGTTTAGTCAAACTTTAAGGATATTTTATTCTCTGTTATTCACCAGTATCATGCTTTAGCATGGATCAGAAGCTCACTAACTTTACAGCACTGCAAACCTTGTCCTATTTAAAATGATGTAGGTTACTTGACTGAAGTTTTCCCGCTGTTGTGAGTCAGTAATTAAAAAAGAACAGATCAGATGTGTTAATTCCTTATGTCCATAAAAATTTAAATGGCATCATTGGTGTATATTCAACTGTCCCTCTATTTTACACAGTAGATTCTATTCGCAGTCTACATCTAAATGTCAACTGTAAAATCTTGAACTTGTTGCACTTAGGTGTAATCATAAATGCAGGACCTAAGTAACTGTCCTTTTTAACTTTACAAAACTTTGAAAACAGGAATAACAAACATCCTTACGTAGAATTAGGACACAGCTTATTTCGAGCTTGTATAACACACGACCGATGCCATTAGGATATATGGTCGAAAACAATAACGTACTCACATTTATTTTCAAAATCTCCATCTTCTCCGTATCTCTCAGCCAATTTTTGCAACCACTCATACATTCTTACTTACATTAGAATGAAAAACATTGCTGAGTCCCTATGGCCATTTCTTTGGAAGATGCTTGAACATTTGTTGCAATAAGAAATACTAAATATTCCACAATCCTCCTAAAAAGTACTGCTTAAGATTACTGGGGAAAAACGTTTCTGCTCAGTACGCCCTGGTAAGTGGATGCTATCTTTCCGCTGCTACAAATACAAGTATTTAAACCATCCATTTTACATATAGACTTCAAATAATTACGTCCCTCAATTATTAACAATTGTGCCTGTACGCATCAAAGTACATTAATGTTAAAGAAAGAAAGTTATGTGTAGGCTGCTAGTATGTATGTATTCGGATCGAATAAAAAGACCTTGAGGTTAACTTTCAACAGTTGCCAAGTATAAGTGTGTTGAAAATTTTGAGCGTTATTCAAGCAAATACTGATGAGACGAAAAACCATCTAAGAATAGCTATATTTTGTGCTACAATAATGTCATAAATTCAAAGATTAGGGCCTTAGAAATTGTATTCTCGTGTGAAATAATCAGCATGTCAGTAAACTGACAGTTCCCAATAAAATCGGGTGACCATCCAAAAGGACAAAGTGGGGAAACAGTGAGACTTAATCTTATTAATTTGCCATGAAGTTGTGACCGCATCTATCTGTAGAGTCAAGCATCAAGGTATAACCTAATATACTGATATCTTAGGCACTTTAGAGAGTGACTTTAATAACTTCGTTAGTTCAAGGCTTACAAAAAATAACAGGCTAGATAATACGCCAAAATTGAACTTTAGAAGTCGAAGAAGTGAGGATTCGCTAATGATCTTTGTCACCCAAAGTCAGACTTAACCCATGTTATGAAAAAGGGTACAAAACAAGGAGACAATCAACTAGCCTCTTTACCTTGAAAGCAAACATCACGACGTAGCACCACAATTAAAAACAGCTGTGAATGATAGTATCAATATTCAATATTGCCTTTACGATCAAGTGTAAACGGCTGAAATTGACCGTCATGTCCAAGTTCACTGGTGGAGTGAGACACCAGAAGGTCGTATTTGTCCATATTTGTCGGCCATGTTGGATTGCACTTCCTTAGCCGTTCGTTTACACATTGGCGTTTACGTTTATCCCGCAGTTATTCGCAACTTATCTTGATGCATATTGTTTACAAATGTTGCGTTTCACCTCATTTTGCCTCCGTTGCTGTTAGCATTCTTTTGTCAAAAAGGCCTGTCCTTCACGCGAAAATAGGCTAAATTAATATCCTGAGATGTGAAGTCTTCATTGAATTATATTATGCCGAAGGGTGCATCTTATATATTGAGTAGACTATTTGTGTAAATGACATTTCCCTCCAACTATCCCATTCTCTCATTATAGCGCTATTCTGACACAGTCTGCCTGAAACACTAATCATTGCAACCAATATGCTAAGAGTGTGTCGCAGTCGGATCACATGACGTGGACACCAACGTAACTATTCAGGAAATGAGATTTCCCATCAATCCAGATAACATATAACACGGTTTTATCAAAACGAAGGTAGACCCAAGCGATATTGCAAATATCTCCCACCGGTAGTCGATGAATATATATAATGGTGAACATATAATAGTGGATAATTTTTAGTACTGCAAAATGCGCCTTTATTAAGTACTTCCCTAGAGTGCATAATGATATCCACTAATGCCAAACTTGTTTTTATTCCGAATGTTAGGTCGGTTTGCCATATGCGTTTGGACTGTATTAGCATCTTCGCATATTTGGCTTCATATTTTTATTATGACTGCACTGACGCGTTTGCAGAATTCATGCATATTTCAGTTTGCAATGTCACCTTCCAATGTTTTTACCTTCCACAAAAGCCCTAAAGCTAAAACAACTACATTAAAATGAATTAAATGGATAAACTTTCAGCCAACCCGCTGCTACGGCTGCTTTAAGTTTTGTTTTAGTGGTACGCATCTTACCAGGCGTGGACACCATTATCCCGCATTTTTAAGCTGCTGCGACGATAAAAAACAATATAACCTTCCCGTTACACACCTGTGAACTGATACCACAAAAGTACGGTTTATGTTTGCAACTAAACTTACTTCGAATATTGAAGCAAGATTCTTAACTTGTGCAAATGTTAATGAGGTGCAATTTTAAATTTCTGTTTTCAACTTTGTGCGAAGTCATGTAGGTAAAGTCTACTCAAAACATTTTGAATGTGTCAGTGCACCATATGAAACTTTTCCCTAGTTTTAATATATTTTCTCGGGAAGAACCAAACCAATAGCCGCTACCTTGAAGTAGTGGTCGGCCTGGAGCATCTCAGTGATACTACTACCGACAATGGTTCGAACTAGTGTTCCCGAAGGTCCTGTCATACCAAAAAGAGTCCCCGGATAACGATTAATTAAAAAGCAGTTACTGTCATAGTGTTGGATGTTTATACAGCAGGGCCCTTACAACACGGTTATCTCAGGAGCCATGAGAATAACCCTTGGGGATCCGGACTTACAGTCTTCAATCAAACCGAAATAAAACTAAATCGTCATAAATAAACTCGGCCAAGTCCGAAACGAACCAAAAGGTTCCAGTTACAATTGACCAAATTCAAAGCAAAATAAAATGGTTTCAAAAAGAACTATATTGATAACAGAATGTGGAAGGACTGCGGGATTATTGTTCTGTTAAACGAAGTGTGCTAGATGAAAATTTATTTTTTAATTTTTTATTTTATTAAAGCTTGACTCCACACCGTATTTTTGATACAAGTATGAAATTTTCAGCATGTGATATCGGCAGCCCAAAGTTTGCAGGCCGACATGGTACAAACCTTCAAATGTGAAATTAACCGTCATCCAAACACAAACACACCCAAAATTAGTTCGCGACCAACAAAATTTGAGTTCAGACAAGAAGTGCAGAAGAGTCCAATGAATGGAAAACGACTTAATTAACGCAAAGTGCAAAATGTTGTGTAAAGCGCAACTTTCGTGTTTAAGGATGGTATATTAGACGTAATACTCCAGACTGAAAGTTAGTTTCTGTTTCACACGTAGGGAAAATAATATTTTCAATAATATCCATTCATCCAGGTGAATGATTACACAACACACTCACTCACTAAACTCCAAACAAATAGAAGAGATTCACCAGCAAGTCATGTGCTCTCCCCGTACCTATGCAACCCACCCTTGCACAATGCACGGACAAACACACGCCTAACTAATACACACCACCCTAGTTACTAAGACTTACACTAGAGCTTCTGGCAACCCCTTGATCCAGCTATTTATCTCAGGTTCCTGGTACTTATACCACTTTACCTAGATAACACCCTGATGAACCTTGTCATCGCTGGCTTCCTAGGGACACAAGTTTCTGATATCTAGTACTAGTACTGCCTCAGCCGTCTTCACTTGCACTTGTATGACTAGGCCGCCCTCAATAAGTAGCACCCGGTGCACCAACGCGATTAACCACTGACTCCTTCCGGTGAAGTCTGATGCTACAATAACCAAGTTCGCTGCCTGCACATTCCTACGTGTGTCCATACATTTGTGTCATTGATGTTATAAGGGGACATATTCCCTTGAACAACGTTTCCAAAACACATATGCTGAACGGTTGGCTTGTCTCCAACTTTTTGAGAATTTGACACCGAGGTGAGTTACACTTACACTTAAAGAGCCGTACCTAAGTAGAAGTAGTCTAGCCGGTGTTAAAATTTCGAGGTCTTCACTGTACGAGTTGGACGAAACCAGAGGTCTATTATGTATAATGCGTTCAGCTCCTATCAATAATGTCATAAGGTCTTCAACAGTCGATGGTTGTTCATTAACCAGTTCGTCTAAAACCCTACATACAGTACGAATCGTGCGTACCCAAACACCATCCCAGTGGCTCGCGGCCAGTGGGATGAAATGCCAATCCATACTCCCAATCATTAAAGTGCCTTGTATTCTTTCTCGTTTCCAATTTGTCAGGCACCTATCTAATTCTATTTTCGTTCCTAAGAAATTGGTTCCGTTGTCGCTAAATATTTCCCATCAACAAGCTTCATCATCAGCACTGCAAAGAAGTTCGTGGATAGACTGTGCACTACCTCTAGGTGCACAGCTTGTAATTTCAAACACATAAAAACATAAACATAGTGCTTTTTATGTGTCCAGCCCAGTGTCACTGTTCCTGGCCCAAAACAGTTTACACCTACTGACAAGAAGGAGTGTCTGCCCTTCTCAACTCTAGCCGTTGCCATGGTTGTCGTTAGCTGACACTATGGCCCAGCATTGCTTCCCCTACGAAGTATACAATTTCCGATAACCTTCCTCATTGCTACACCTTTTCGTAATATCCAAAACCTTTCTGTAACAGTTGCTGGTACCTGTGTAGCACCTACACCCTTTTCTGTGTTGTGGTAATGTCTTGGAATCAGCTCTGCGACATAGGAATAAATATATACTGTATTATTATAATCTTTCGAAGGGAGCATTACCAGGTGTTTCAATTCATTGGACATGATGCGTTCCGCAATCCGCCACCCAGAGAAATAAAACAATTTATTAAGATAGGATGAAGTTGGTGTAGAGATGAGTTGAATGTTCACACTCCTGAACTACCAGATATCATTAACAATTTAATTTCCTTCCTAAATTCTATCGCCTGAAACATTCTTGTGATCTTCTGAGTGGCGCACTGTAACTCATATACCTTCAGTAGGTCCTATTTAGGAGATGTAGTGATTCTGTTAAGATGCAGTATAAGCATTTGAATCGAGCCATCCGAGCAATTGCCTCCGATAACCTGGTTAAATCTGAAAAGTGATATAGAACGCGATTAAAACCACAGCCAATGAGGGTCACATTTACAATCGCTGAAGTCTTTATCTCGCCTGTCATCTGGTTGCATGGTTATGTTGAATAACGGCCTTTAGTCCTGGGAGAACTTAGTAATGACGTGTCCCGCTGAAGGTAATTCCGTCATTTCTGTTGCCGTTTCTTAGACAGTCCGGTCATATATCTGCGAATCGTATCTGCCCACGCGAAGCCTGTTGTGATTAGTTGCTGAGTTCCTCAAAGTTGAGCTTTGTTCTTGTTTTTTCTCATGACCCCGATTTTGGATGCAAACATCGATAGCAATTGTTGTCTACAAATTTGTCTAGCACACAGTTCTCACCACAGTACAAAACAGTTTTCGAATCGATTCAACATGTCACCACTAGAAACATAACGTCTATTTCTGATGGTAACAAAAAACCGATGCCAACGGCCGAGATGGCTGCAGTTAATTCAAGCCTTGGCAGTGATTGAAGCTTCAGAGGTGCTACCCTAGTCTTCGCTATGATGAGACGACAACGAGCATTTCTGTGTTCTTCAGAACGTCTAATGTGAATGCCACCGCTCAACAGCCACCTTCGGAGGCATAACAAAGGATGTGTGACTCCTTAGTTGACCGATTCGTATACAAAGGCCGTAAGAAACTAGGGGATGATACGTTCACAGCCATTCCAAAACTATGCAGAAGCTTTGTCCAGACACTAATTTCCTTCCTAGATAATTTTTCATCCCAATCCAAGCCCGATTCTCAGAACCTTTACGGCAGTTGCTTAGTAAATAAATAAATAAATAAATTTATTCTCATAGTACAGTACATGAGGGACGCCAGTTTACAGGCATCATCAAATTGTTACAGAAATAGAACCATATAATTTAATCACAATTTACAGCCAGTAGCAAGATATGCTTTACATGTTCGATAGAGATTATACATACACTTGATAAATGTTAATTCCAGTAGTATAAAACAGCCTTTTCACTTATATACAATCATTTCTGTGCAAAGTTGGAAAAATCTGCTAGATTGTCAGTGAGTGCAACACAACAGGAAATACAGGAGTATTGTCTTCGCATTAACAAAAAAACCAGGTCTTTGGTGGATGGATTATAAGTGCCTGGGAAAAAAAATAAAGCTTGAAGTAAATATTCATACATAACTTTGTTGTGTGCAGAGTCCTCGAATTATAGTTCATTGA